TCAGTATTATAAAGATCCAGTAAACCTTTTAAAAATCCACTCTAAGTACTTCAAAAGAAGAAATGTAGCATAAGGGAATAACTCATCACTGAAGTTTTCTCAATATATGCTAAGGATGTTCCCTAAAGAGCATCAATTAGAAGAAGCTACTGTTATCAACATGGGAAGAGGTGATAGGACCCATGGATACCCTGTGGGAGCCAGAATCTTGGAGATAGGACCACACAAAATCTTAGAGCCATGGCAAGAGTTTCCTGATGGAAACTGGATCACAGAGTGCAGATCCCACATAGGAGCCAGAGCCCCAAAGGAATCACAGTGCCTGTTAGACGTCTTCCCAAAGAAGAAAGGATTTTAAAAAAATACCCTGGCTTCTTCTGCTCAACTCCCACTTCTTGTGAGGATCTCCCATTGGTTGGATCTAACAAATGGGCAGAGGAGTCTGGGAAATTCAGCATAGCCCCTTGGAATTCAAACAGGACAGGGAATGTCTCAGAGAAAATGGGCAAACCATCTGCATAAGAATAGGGAGGGGAGAAAATCCAAGTAGCCATTAGGCATAGGAAATTATGTTCAATCTCATTAATCGTTAATGAAGCACAGTTTTGATTGTGGGCCTAGCCTTTAACGGCTGAGCCATCTCTCCAGCCCATAAAGCACAGTTTTAACACAGAAAAGTTTAAAGATTGGTGACTATGTTTAACAAAGAGAGTGTTTATCCACACAAGTGAGAGAGCAAGTTGAAGAATTGTTGGCCCTGTATGATGCTGATGTTGGGCACACCCTGGGCTCTGGGAGCTCTGAGTCTGGGAATATATCTTCAGGAAACTGCAGCAGAACACACGAGGAGACAGCTGCGTTAGTACTGTGAACCTACTCAATTGCCCACCAACAAGACAGTGGGTGCCATGTACTTTTTATTCTTATAATAAAACACTAAAATGAATAAACTACAGAGATACACCATGAATGTCACAGGCATAACTATGAGCAAAAGGGAAACGCATCAGAAGAAACACCCTCAAATGGTATTGACAGAATTTTTTAAATTTGTAAAATTATATTCACTGTTTACAGGCTGAATCATATACACATGACAAGACTATAAAGAAAAAACATACTAGAGTAAATGGGATGGCTCAGAGGATAAAGGCACTTGATGCCAAGCCTGTGGATCGGAATTTGATTCCTGAAAACCCACAAGGTGGAAGGAGAGGACCTGACTCCCACGGCTTTTGTTATGGCATGTACTCGGGCACACATGCAGGTACAAATACATACACACGTGTACACGCACACACATACACTCATGCATGCCTGCATGCATACTCTCACCCACAAATTTAAATAAAAGTTATAAAAGAAAAACCAACTACCAGGAAACCTAAGGTCAGTGGCTGAACACATGCTGAGCATATTTAAGGTCCTGAGTTCGAATCCTATCACTGAAAAGAGAGAATAAAGTATTGATAAATAGCTCAGAGGAGTGGCTACCTCTGGCAGGAAAAAAAAGGCGACTATGACCAGAAGAAACCTACAGCACATCTACTCATAATGTTTAGGTACAGAATATTTTGTTATTGAAAACAAGACCTTAGAAACCCCAAGGGTTTATTTCTCCTCCACTCTAATGGTTACTGGGAACTTTATTTTATTGTACTTAATTAAATGTTATCTCACCCACTCATGCAAGTTCTTTACTGAGATTGCCACTGATATCTTTGCTTGTGGTTATTAACCTTGGCCCATTATCGATCCTCCATATGTTCTTAGTTTCCACATCTACATGGAGAGGGTAACTGGGAATGCCCACTTCATAGCATGATTACCAAATTAGATTGAATATATGAGAAATGCTTATCCCAAAAGTCTGGCAACCAGAGATCTGCAGATGCCCCTCTATTCCCACTGTTAACATCAACTCGAAGTGTCCTCCCTGTCCACTGTCCTTACCTACTGACTGCAGCCATCTGGGGACATCTGGTCCAGTATCTGAAGACCCTTCCTCTTGCCCAAGCCCACATCTCCTTCTTTTAAATACATAAACTCCTGTTGCCTGTACCATTTTATGAGGCATCTTCTATAATTCGTTCATTCGTCCAGTAAACCATGCTAGATACTCCACACACGGAAGTCAATAAACAGCCACTTCCTCATGGAGCTTGCATTCTGGAGGGTGGAAGAGAGAGAAGTGGATGGAGAGAAAAGGAGTGAGAAAGGAAGAAGAGAGAAAAGGAAGGAGGGAGGGAAGAAGGAAGAGAAGGAGGGAAGGAGAGAGGGAGGGAGGGAAGCGGAGAAACAGGCAGTAATTATCTAATTCAGATGTGCTGGGTTCTGTCAGGAAAGGGTGAGGAATGTCTAGGAAACTTGTTGAAATGGAAGGTCATCTAGACCATTCAGTTCAGAAAGACAGATTTCTTAAAAAAATGAAATGGCAATGAAGGAATGACCTGAAAGATAACCTTTTATTGACACCACTAACAATATCTGCCTAGGTTTTGTAAGCTCAGTAGATTACCAGGACACATGCTCCCAAAGGAACAAATAACATCAGGAGCAACAAGTGTTCAACGCCAAATGACAAGTGAACAGAACGGATGGCAATATGCAGGCGCTGAGGGGATAGTCCTGAAAGAGATTAAGAGGAGGGTGAAATAAAACGTGAACTCTGATGAGAAGGCCGAGGGAAGAATGGAAGTAAGGCAGGGAAAGTAGGGGTACCCTAGTCCTGTTGTGGCAACACACATCCACATCCATAATTCCAGCCCCTGGGGGTCTGGGGTAGGAGGTTTGGGAGGTCAAGGCCAGACTGAGCTACACAGCAAGGTTTTGTACTTTTCTGTTACTAAAACCTTTTTCATACCGTTTATTCTGCTCATGGTTCAGATGATCCTCCTCCTCCCTGCTCCCTAACTTTGTTCTCTCTCTCTCTCTCTCTCTCTCTCTCTCTCTCTCTCTCTCTCTCTCTCTCTCTCTCTCTCTCTCTCCCTCCCTCCCTCTCCCTCTCCCTCTCCCTTTCCCTCTCCCTCTCTCCCTCTTTCAGACAGAACGAAACAAAAAGCAATAAACAAAACAACAAAAACCCTCCAAAAAGAAACTGCAACGAAAAACCACAAAAAAAAGTTAGCAAAAGCTCAATAAGGAAAGAAAGAAAGAAAAAGCCAAAGCAAAGCAAAATGAAACAAAAAAGACCACAGGAGTCTCGTGGAGTTCTTTTGGGGCTGGCCGACTACTGGTCATGGAGTGTGGTTGATAAACCCGGTGATATTTATTGGAGAATGCTGGTTTTTCCCTTTGCCGGCAAGTGACAATTGCAGCAAGCAGTGCTTTGAATATGAGTTTGAGCAGAGACTGGAGGAGACCAGACCGGTCTGGACAGGATGATGGAAACTGGAATGAGTAGGAAGGGAGTTAAGGAGCAAGGATCACATCATAGAGGGACTGGCTTTATCTTAGACGGAGTAGTTTTCTCTGGGGGGGTTAACTGCCTTATTTGACACTCCCGTGAAAGCCTTGAACCCCTCTCCTGAAGTAAGAAGTGTATTTGTAAAGCAGCGACGGTGTTCAGAAAGCTCCAAATCAGGTGGGCTGGGGGAAAAAAAGGTGAAGCGCGCAGGTGCAGTAACAGGTGCTGTACTAAGTGTCTGAGCTGCACAGGAGAAAGCCGTTAGCAAAGTACCATCTCCTGCTGTCCTGCCACTTAGTCTGTCTGTCTGTCTGTCTGTCTGTCTGTCTGTCTGTCTGTCTCTCTCGCTCTCCTCCCTCCCTCCCTCCCCCCATGTCCCTTCCCGTCTCTCTCCTACTATCAGTGACTCTGGACTAGGAAGGCCACTCTGCATTCTTGCACTCTCTTCCTCTGACCTGTCATATTTTCCTCCCTTGGTCGGATTCCCATCCATTTTTTTCTAGTCCCAGTTGCCTTTCTTGAAGCTGTGTCTGATCATCCTGTGTCTTTTGCCCTGAGTTACTCTGTGTAGGCTTTTTCTCCTCCACATCTCCATTAAACACCAGAAAACTAAGATGCTGTCCTAGCATCCTAGCTCATGAAATGCCTAGCTCCCGTGACAAGTGCTCTCTGTAGCCACTAGCGCCAAAGCCAGAGGCTGGGAGGGGATGGAACCAGGATGGGTTTGGAGCCACATGGACAGTTGGATTCTGGAAAGTTGACCTAGACACACACTGACAGTAATAGGCATCATTGGGGAAAAGGGACGTGGGTTATCTCAAGTGTGTATCCTATAATAATCAATAAATATAAATTTAAAATATAAAATGTTCACCTCTAGGCAAGTTAGTTCATTTGAAACTTGCCCTATTTGTGATAGTGTTGTCCAATGGAGAGAAAAAGCGGGATTGAATTTCAGATTCTAGGTGCAGACTTTCACATTTCAACTGGATTATTATTATTACTACTAAAGTATTAAAATTTTTTGCAAAGGTCAAACAGTTAAAACGCCTTAAAAAGTCACATAAGCGCTGGAATAACTGTAACCTTTAGGACTGTTTGACAACTTCAGGTCAACCTCCAAGGTGCCTTTATTCCATCTTTGTTCATGCTACCAAAATGACTAAGACTTTGTTAAGTTCAACTGAGGCTTGGCCACAGAACGCCACAGGTCCAAGCATACACCTCCCCAATGGGGAAGTGGGCAGTGTTGGGTGCGCATTTCCAGTCCGCCACGGTATGAAGTTCTCTCACTGCCTTGTCTAGCTGCACCGAAGGGAAAGCCCCAAACGGACAGAGCCGCACTCCCCCAACTTTGCTAAAGAAGAGGGGGAACGGGTACCCCATGACTGTGGTTTCCCATGCCCTCTTCCCGCCTTCTGGAGGTCCCGAGCCCTCACAGACCTCTGCAGTGGGTGGGGGAATCCTGCACGCCCCCGTTCTGCCCGGAACCGGAGGCGTAGTTCTGATTGGTCGAGGGCGGCGGGGGCGGGGCCTGCACGCCCCAGAGGTTGCCCCAGAGGCTCGGTGAGGCCAGCGGGACCCGGTGGGGTGTGAGCAGCAGAGGCCTGGGACTGGAGATGGGGACGCGCCGGGTCACCCCGGGCTGTGCAGCGGGGCTGCTCGTGCTGTTGCTGCGATGCTTCGGGCTTGCGGAGCCTTCCGAGTTCTCAGGTAACCGGGCAGCCTCGACGCCGCTGCTCTGAGCATTTGCCTCCTCCGGGTCAGGTCACAGTCGCCTCACTCCCTGTCTCTGGAGTGGACAAGTCTGGAGGTCTGGCCTAGGAGGGCGGAGGGCAGGCCATGGGGTGCGAAGGGACCCTCTGCTTAGAGAAGGCCGTTCTAGAGTCTTATCTTTCCCTTGTTCCTCGACTGTTCCCTAAAATCATGCTTCCCTGGGGTTCCCCTCATCTTGTATCATTGTTGCCTCTTGGTCATCTTGGCACCTCCGTGATGAGGATGAGCCCTCACTCACACAGCAAGGATTCCCAGAGACCCTGACTTCACTGTAGCCAGTGAACGCATTGAAAAAGAAGCCAGGTCCTAACATCGCCTCCAGAAATCAACCAAGAGGCTGAAGCCCTTCCCGGCCACCTGGAACAGCGGCCCTTCTAATTTGTTTATTATCTCCAAATGCTCCCCATTCAGGCGGCTGAGATAGAGGCGCAGGTCACTTCCTGTCAGTGGGGAAAGGATGCTTTCTGTGAAGCTCAGGGTAGTGCCCCTGCCACCATCCCACTTAGCAGTTAGATTTTGCTTTTACTTTCTTTTTGCCTCAGCAAAAGGTGTGCCAACGACCTTGTTACTCGCTTGTGCTGTATAACCGACACTCTATAGGCCACAGACATTCACCCCCTGCTTCTGCTATCTTTCCGGGGTGAAGAAGAAGGTGGCAGAGGCGGGTTTTAGGAGTGCGGCCCTTGCTTTCTTTGGCGCTAAGTTTAGTTACTCTGTGATGTAGACTGTCCAGAGTTATGGGAAGAGTTTCTGGAAAGGGTGTTTGTCATCCACCTGTCTGCACCAAGAACCTTCAATGAATCCTGTCTTGACTCACTCTTCTTAGTTTTTCTTTGACCTTCTGCACTGATAACCACCAAAGGAGATATTAACATTAAAATCTGTTTTGTTTGTTTGTTTTTCAAGACAGGGTTTCTCTGTGTAACTTTGGAGCTTGTCCTGGCACTCACTCTGTAGATCAGGCTGGCCTGGAACTCACCGAGATCCACCTGCCTCTGCCCCCTGAGTGCTGGGATTAAAGGCGTGCACCACCAACCACCTGGCGTAAACTCTATTATTGATATGATAATTCAATTCTGTCTGCTGCACAAACCAAGGCGAAAAATCTACCTGTAGCAATTTACAGTGAAAGCTTGCTACCTTCTAGTCACTCAACCCCCCCCCACTCTCTTCACTTCCATCTATATGTGAGTCCTGTTTCATTTCCTCGCAATTTTTTAGATTCCTTAATTTTCAAATGGCCTGGTTGGGTCTTTCTTTCTTTCTTTCTTTCTTTCTTTCTTTCTTTCTTTCTTTGTAGTTGTTTTTTTTTTTTTGGTTTTTGTTTTTTTGTTTTTGTCAACTCAACACA